TTCATTTCACAAGTGCATTTTTAAAAACAAAGGTCCATCGGGTCGTCGCCGGAGCCTTGGAGTTCGTGCTCTGCGCGGCGCTCTAGGCAGGCTGCTAGTCGTTATGCGGGCGGAGAGAGACCGAGCCAAATGCGATAAAACCCGGTGCAAAGAAGTCGATCCAGGCCGATTTTAACTTAGTCTAGCCGTTACGTGTGCCCCAGTTGTGATTACTTTTGAAATTGAACGGTTTATCTTGGTCTAGATTTGGGGGAAAAGGTGAGGGAGAAGGGGGGGGGGGGCGGCAAACAACTCATGTTTTCATTCATATAGTTTTCCTCTAATTTTCCTGGGTGTAAAATTACTTTACCGCCAGGTCGAGACGTTCCTTCTAATTCCTGAATGCAGATTTACCATAAGTCCAGTCTTCTCGATGTTTTTTCCCGTAGTTGGCAGTTCATAAGGAAGATCGTTGTCATGGCTTTCACACAGCGATACGAGAGTCGCACTGTGAAAACGACTAGGCTTCAGCATGTAATATTCCCACAGTTAGTAGTGGATACAAGATTTGCTAATAAACAGCATCCTGTCTCGGAAACTGAAATATTTTCGTCATATCAAGCGCCACGACGGATTGGAAAACATTATAGCAGAAGGCATAGTACCAGGAAGGATGGGCAGGGGCCGACCGCCACGAAATGGGCACAGGATATAAGGGACTCCTTGAGTATGAAAGTACATGAGGCAGGAGACTTGGTGAGAGATCGAGTTTCTTTCAGGCAAACTGTGATGAGAGCGACGTTCTGCAAAGGACCTTCTACAGGATGATGATGATGAGTAGTGGATACATTGCCGAGAGTTCTCTAATGCAAGGACAACAGCATTTTGCATTTAAATTAATGTCTTTTTCCAGTTTTAGAGTTTTCAGTCTATCCTCTAATGGAGAAACGATTTTATTAGTAAGTGAATACACAAGATAGAAGGGTTTCGTTAATCATGGATTACTGAACACGTGAGTTATGGATTGGATATTTTATTAATTTATAATTCATTAATGCAATGTCTCTTCAGCATGGGCGCCAGAGTCCGGGAGCTCATGCACGTGGAGACCCCCACACCCCCAATAATATTTAGGGGGAAATAAGCGCCCACCCTATGGCAAAGTAACAATGGACTAAGTGGTCTCGCTAACTATGTATAGTGGGTTATCTTTTTAAGTATTTGTTTGTTTATTTGGCGCATGTGGCTTATGTGTTGCGAAAGCGCTTCATAATCCCGGGATGCCAGGTTCGATCACAGCTGCAGACGGTTTGATTTGCTTTGGTTTTGACAGTGGTACCGAGAGCTGACCTTTTAGGAGGCAATGGCAAACTACTGAATGTAACATTTGCCTAGAAAAACCACAACAGCCTAAAAAAGACTGTGTCTGGTCCTGCACCGTCATGTAAAGGATACGCAACATTTCCCAGTATATAAAATATATAGTTACTTCCTTCAACATGACCAAAGCCTTTGAGAAGGTTTGGAAGAAAAGACTCTCTAAAACTATATCGCAACTGGATAATAGGGCATATGGTTGCCGGGATACGCGACTTCCTGTACAGGCGCTGCGCGTGAGTCAGACTGAAAGAAGACAAGGGAAAAGGTGGTCAGACTACAAGAGAGTTCCTCTTGAAGATGTCACAGCTCCTATCCTGTTTGTTCTCCCTATCAGTGGCGCCCCCTACAGTTCGCACTTTTATTCACTAAGTTCTATGCGTAGATGACCTGGCCATATGGACCCAAACTGAACACATGGGGACAACAAAAAGAAAGAATGCAGGAAGCTATAAATACAGTTCAGAAAGGGATAGAGTCTTAGATCCCAATAAACCAGAACAAGGCTGTCTGAACTCATTTCCTTTTTTCTACAAAGCCGAGCAATATATATATATATATAACCTATAAAACAACATCATTCCAAAAGAGGACAAACCCGCCTGTTTGGGAGCCAACTTCGACTGAAGAGTTACCTTGAGCCCAACATTGAAGACACCCAATGGAAAGCTACCCTGCGGCTTAGAAGAAACTTACCGGACATAGCTGGGGGTGCAGATGCCAAAATTGTGCGACAAACATACAAAAGTTACCAACGGACAAAGCTGGAGCATAGCATGGGAACATACTCCAATATAGCCACATCAAATTTAGCCAAACTGGTCACAATACAGAATACTGGTATAAGAATCATACCGGAGGCATGAGAAGCACACCGATCAATTAATTGGAGGCAACGTCTCTCCTTCAGAGTTCGAGCCATCGAATGGGAGAAATCGTGCTTACCTTGACAGTAAAAAAAAAAAAAAATTTAAACGCATGGACAGCAACCTCATGCACAGAATAGCAAACAAACTAACAAGAAAAAAGATAAAAAAAATAGAACATTCCACCATTTATCAAAATTGTTCAGTGCCAAAAACAGGGAAATCCTTTCTAAAGACCAAGCGACGTGGGAAATGATCAAGGCATACGACACAGACCTACAGCCCAGTCATCCAATCACAACTCTAGGCATATACAGAACGGTGTAAGAATTACATCTAGCACTGGAAGCAATAGGCCCATAGCAAACATGTCGTAGGATGCGACTGATTAGCGATGTTTTCTTCGAAGTCAGTGTGCATCTGCATGAGAGGCGAGGTACCAGCATTATGTGTATAGTTAAGCCAGATCTCCAGTCATGGCCTCTTGTTCTCGTATATTTCCCTGTTTCATAGTGTGTTCATTCCTTTTTTTTAAATTCATTATTTTTCGTCGTCGTCGTCGTCGTCGTCGTCGTCTTCTTCTTCTTCTTCTTCTTCTTCTTCTTCTTCTTCTTCTTCTTCTTCTTCTTCTTCTTCTTCTTCTTCTTCTTCTTCTTCTTTTTCTTCTTCTTAGCGTTTATTGACCGTTAACTTCGGGGGAAAGTTCTCGCTGCTTGTTCACTTCTAGCCTTTCGTCTTATTCAAAACGTGAGTGTTGCGTGCACGCACGTCCGTTTTTATATCTTATTTTTTTGTATGCAGACTGTTGGTTCCTTGCCTCTCAGGCAGATGCACTCCCATTTCGAAGAAAACTTCCCAAATTAGTCGCATTGTTCAAGGACAATAGCTCCACCCACACACCCACCCACCCACACAATCCCTTTTGACGCGGCCCTAAAACCCACACAGGGACTGTGAAATCCATGTTAGTGAACACAGACCTGGTTTTCGGCGATGCACATCTTTAGCAATATACTAGTTGAGTTTTATAAAGGATACATTAAGGCGACGCAGCTTTGCGATACATTGGTCACTACAAAAAGACTGGTGAACCAGCACTAAACTGGGACGAGCAGTGCTCACTACAGGAAGACTGGTAAACCAGCACAGAACTTGCGCGAGAAGTGCTCACTGCAAGAAGACTTGTGAACCAACATCGTACTGGTATGAGCGGTGCTCTCTACAACAAGACTGGTGAACCAGCCCTAAACTGGGACGAGCGCAAGTACCCAGCGCAAAGATATTCTAGTTATACCATTCTTCTGTTAGGAAAAGTGTAAGTAGATATGATCTAATCACAGCTGTGCAGGCGCGAATGCTTATAATACTTGTTGCGCTGGTTACTGGAGACAGACTTGCTGGCTGTGCGCCACCTGGTGGTCAGTTTGTGCATAACAAGGCTTTTCGTGAAGGAATAAACAGTGCCCAGGCACAGTTAGATTATAACGGTCTGAAAAGAATTGTGCAACGGGCAGCGACTAGCGCATATGGCCCACGCTCCACACTGAGTCTGAGAGAAAAGACAAGACGCACTTACATTCAGACGGCTACTGGTACCATCGCAGTTAGAAATCTTCGCTGGCTGGTGAATATGGAGACAGATCACTTATGGGAGTGTCCTGGGTGCTATGGTGTCGGTTCTTAAATATGAACTCAACTAAACTACTGAATAGGGGGACGGTGTGCTTATGGGAATGACCCGAGTGCTATGATGTCGGTTCTTAAAACTTAACTCAGCTTTTGAAGATGGGGACGGATCGCCTATGGGAATGACCTGCGTATTGTGATATCAAGCTAGTTTTCTTAAATAACTTTCACCATTTACCTTTTTAATGTCAGCTGTCCACATCCATGCGTAGCTGGAAATCTAACAGAAGCAAAAAATCAAGAGCACAAGAAGAAGATCAAGAAGAAGAAAAAGAAGAAGAAGAAAAAAGAAGAAGAAGAAGAAGAAGAAGAAGAAGAAGAAGAAGAAGAAGAAGAAGAAGAAGAAGAAGAAGAAGAAGTAAAAGAAGAAGAAGAAGAAGAAGAAAAAGAAGAAGAAGACGACGAACAAGAAGAAGAAGAAGAAGAAGACGACGAAGAAGAAGAAGAAGAAGAAGAAGAAGAAGAAGAAGAAGAAGAAGAAGAAGAAGAAGAAGAAGAAGAAGAAGAAGAAGAAGAAGAAGAAGAAGAAGAAGAAGAAGTAGAAGAAAAAGAAGACGAACAAGAAGAACAAGGAGAAGAAAAAGAAGAAGAAGTAGAAGAAGCAAAGAAAACGAAGAAATGGAAGAAGAAGAAAAAGAAGCACAGGAAGAAGAAGAAGAAGAAGAAGAAGAAGAAGAAGAAGAAGAAGAAGAAGAAGAAGAAGAAGAAGAAGAAGAAAAAGAAAAAGAAGAAGCATAGAAAAGGGAGGAAATGGAAGAAGAAGAAGAAAAAGAAACATTAGAAGAAGAAGAAAAAGAAGAATAAATGAAACAGAAGAAAAATTAAAAAGAACTAGAGAAGTGAACAGATCTTCTTAGTGCAAGCAACTTAGCTCTAGGTGACAAAATGCAACCATCTAATTTATTGCATCGTTATTATCTACCTACTTCATAATAAACTATACCAAGGTTTAATGAAAGCATTCAATGTATCCTATTCTATCATGCACACAGGTGATCAATCTAATCTTGCACAGTGCCCAGCAATTCACTAACAGACACACTAAACGTGTTACCACAAGCAAGTATTTAAAATCCAGCTACATCAACTGTCATGACTGAGACAAGACACCCCAGCAAAGGGCATGGATTCATTGAGTTCGAAGCCATCAGAAACTCAGCAACTACTAGGGAGAAGAAAGGCGGGAAACAATACTATAAATCAGAGATTGTTTCTTTGAAACACACATACCCCGTAAGTTTTGACTCTGCTGCCATCCATGACAAACTGCATTTCTTAAGTTGGACTGTTTGTGTTAGCACTTCGGATGGCTACCACATGCTTTTAATGCGTGTGTATGCTAGTGCATATGCTGAGACAATAGTATGTCAATCTTTCCACAAGGGACTGTGATAAACATTCTGTGTGTTTTTCGTTGGCACAGGAGCTGAGCAACTATGGTATTACCCATTTGCTATGAAGCTGAAACTAAGATTACCAGATTACCAGAAGTTATCATCCATGTGTTAGGCACGGTGGCTGCTGTGTTTTGGTACTGCTGCTAACTGTTTTGTCTAAGGCACTGTGACATTCAAAGTTTGAGATTTTTCCACGCCATTTGCACATTTGACACATGGTTTGAGACTCAAATTCGTAAAGACCAAATGGAATTCGTTGGATGATGTGATCAGTAACCTATTGGCCCCCTTGACTTCCCAGAACAATTTCTGGTACACATTTTTGTCTGGATAGACTTGGAAACATAGACTAATTATTAACTCTCTCTGCAGCAATCAACACACTATGTGTTATTAGCTAATATCCATGTGTATCTCTGGAACACAATGTGTTGTATTTTCATGTCTGGTCTGTGCTTGCTAAAGAAATGAGGCTAAATATTTAGGTATGCAGCACAATGTATGTTATGTGTGTCTTTGAAAGTGACACACTGCTATTTTCATCCTGTGGTTATTGTGCCAGATTGGGTTTCTGCTGTGAAATCATCTGGGACTGATATACATTAACCCCAAAGATCTTTAGGTCAGTAGGCAAGTGTTTAACCACTGTGCCACCACTCACATAGAAAACACTTTGAGATGAAGTTAGACATAGACAATCAGTGTTTTTCAAACATGTTATGAGAAAGAATGGGGTCGAGAACTTGGTGACAACAGGCAAGACAGGTGAAAAGAGGAAGGGAAATGCAAGGAGATAAAAATGTTAATGGCTTGACCATATTCGTGGGTGGGAAAAGAGCTCTAACCTGATCTGTGATTCTAGTGATCATGTGCAATGATTAAACATGACAGCTTATGCTTATGAGCACGTCACATCTTGCTGATGATGATGGTGATGAACCAGATCCACTGAGTCCAAAAGTCACAGTGTAACCAGTGATATGATGCTCCACTCCTACAGTCACAATAATAAAAAATACATCAACAAGTTTCAAAGCCTTTACTCGCTGTAGACACCAGGGTGGTTAACTGCTACAGATGCCCTAATTATAACTTATTTGGAAGTTTAACACAGAGTCAGGTCTTGGTCAGATAGAACTGAGCCACAATAGTTGGTATACCCTGTTCCCTGATACTGCCCAGGCTTTGTGCTATGGGGAGGAGGAGTCTCATCCCAGGCCCTAATTAGTTGTGCCCTGGGATGCGACTCCCATTCCCCACTATAGCACAACAGAACACTATCATCTGGAAAGACGAAAGGGTGCCGACATAAAATAGCGCTGGTGGGGAATCTGCAATTGGCTTATTTGGATTAGTATACAGAATGTCACTCGTGGTCAGAAGATAAGGGAGCAGCTCAGAGAGAAAATCAGACAGGCATATTTTTATATTCAATACAGGACCCTTGTCCATGCCTTCAGGCGTATTGGGCATATAGGGCTAGACCTTTATTTTATAGACCAATCGGCACTTGGTGGGTGATGTAGTCAGCATCACCCCAGCCGTCTTTACTTACCATGGCTATACCTGGTACCCACTCAAGGCTGGGTCGACCTGGGAGTCAAGGTCATTTTTGAAAAAACTCTGGCTCATTCAGGACTTACATTCAATGACACAACATAAACCACATGGCATGTTCAAATACCTGGTAAGATTTCTTTAATATCTCAGGCCAAACCTAAAACAACAAACCATGCAGTGCTTGATACACATAGTCAATATTTGGTCATGCATCAAGTATTGCACTGACCATAATCAACTGGTGTGATAGTTTGTTCCTGGACTTCTGAACACCTTTCTGTTGTATTAATGTTATTTCTTCTGGCTTTCAGTTCCGTTACCTGGTGCCCGAAAACTCAACACCCGGAGCCTGTCGGTGGATCTATCCTTTGGTGTTTGGTGGTGGACTGGTCGGAGGGGACACTGTAGTCTCTGAGGTTAAACTTGGAGCTGGATGTGCAGCTGTGGTCAGCAGTCAGGATTCTACTAAGGTACCTCAGCGATGACCATCTGATTAACTGCATTGTTGATCTTCTCCTTTTTAAAGACAACGCTGTGTGGCGTTGGTAGTCATGTCTATCCACAACCTTCTGTCTCGTGTACTTGCAATCAACTCTGACACAGATGTTCTTCCATGCCATGATGTCAGACCATCCAGCATCTGTTCTCTGTCTTCCTCTGCCTCCCCTCCCCTCACACTGCTTGCTGATCTTAGTCATTAACACAAATTATAGGAATCTTCATGGCCAAGCCATTTGCTTCTTGCTATGAGAGTCATGTGTTCATTTTCAGACTTTCTCATTCAGTTCATAAATACAGTGTAGGTTATAGCTTGAGATATGAAGTTAATGCTTTGTGTGAAGCTCTTGGTAGGTAAGCAACCACTATGTGGAAGCAGGCTAAGCCTGATGGGGCAAAACCTGGGGCAATAAGTTGATCCTATTGTCTTTGTCACACACACGAACTGCCATTACAGCATCTGTTTACCACTTTTGCAGTGTAAGTAGGGGTTGAGTGTCTTTGAGCCTGAGAATTTTAGGGCCTCATGGCTAGTTCTGTTCCCATGGACTTTGCAGGTTAGGATTTTTGTATGTGCCCCTGACAGAGGAAAATCCCCAACCTTTTCGTGAAGTCAAACCTAGCTCTCCAGCATGAGAGCCATGCGTTCTCAACTGCTCGGAAGCCACTCCTCCCTCTTGCCTTTAATCATCGGAAATGTTTTTAAAAATTTTAAGTTTGCCAACTAACTCAGTGAGAAAATTGGTATTGATAGAGAACAATGTCTTAGAAACTCCTACACTTTAGCCACTTCAATTATCCCATTGTTACTGAAAGAACAGCATTTTAAGTCATGGTTCCTGATATAAGAGGCAGGGATAAATCAACATGATGGTGGGCACAGGGCATTAAAAGAGCATGGACACTTCCTGTATAGATTCTGAAGCTCTACTCCGGGAAAGAGAAAAAGAATAGACATCCCCCCCCTTTCCAAAACAAGAATTTTATAAAAGGCAGCTAATCAACGTTTCACTGAAAGGCCAAACAGGCAAATATATTGCAGACCTAATCACAATACAGTGTGCAAACTGCCCTTTTAAGAATCACTGCAGAAGAAGAAGAAGAAGAAGCCAGGATATGAATATGCAGAAAGCATGAGATTTGGCCCATGGAATTATTAAGTCTATCCTGTGGGTTGAATCATGTTTTACAGACATCTTGCCACTTGATGATCATGAACACAGAGATTGATATTGCCTGAATGTATTGATTTTACATGTTTGCAGGTGTACCACTGTAATAATGGCTCGTTGACAACACAAGAATCAACATACCACCTGGGCGACTCCAGTCTTCTGTGTGTTCTACAGGACCCACTTGTTTGTTACCAGAATGCAGATTTCTATCAGAAGCAGGTAGGTGGTGTGTAGCTTTGTGAATGTTGGATAAATGTTGGTGATAAACCATCTGTGAGCGTTGGATTTTTATAAATGCTGGATATGTGGGAATCTTGGATGTGTATGAATCTTAGATGTGTATAGATGTTGACTGAAAATGTTATTTGTTTTGTCGTGATAAATGTTTGCAATGAGGGACTTTGAAGGTTCTGTACAACTCAGTGATGAATTTTAAAAATGTTGAATATCTGTGAATGTTTGTACATTTTAAATTAATCTAGATATCTCATCTGGAGGAATATTAAAATTTTTAACATTCATGAATACCTAGTATATATTCCTTGCAAGGAATAATAAGAGAAATTCTTGGATTCTAGATGATTCCTTACAGAGAAGAAAAATAAATTTTGGCTACAAAATTAGTCCTTACCAGAAAAGAAAACACACACACACACAGAAAGTAAAAAAAATTGTCTTGGGTACTAGAGATGTCCTTACAATGAGGAAGAGGAATGTTTTTAGGTACTAAATGATTCCTTATAAAGAAGGTGGAGAGGAATGTTCTTGGGTACTTGATGATTCTTGATAAAGAAGGTGGAGAGGAATGTTCTTGGGTACTAAATGATTCTTTATAGAGAAGGTGGAGAGGAATGTTCTTGGGTACTTAATGATTCTTTATAGAGAAGGTGGAAAGGAATGTTCTTCGGTACTTGATGATTCCTCATAAAGTAGGTGGAGATGAATGTTCTTGGGTACTTGATGATTCCTCATAAAGTAGGTGGAGAGGAATGTTCTTGGGTACTGAATGATTCCTTGAAGAAAGAAGGTGAAGAGGAATGTTCTTGGGTTCTTGATGATTCCTTATAAAGAAGGTGGAGAGGAATGTTCTTGGGTACTTGATGATTCCTTATAAAGAAGGTGGAGAGGAAAGTTCTTGGGTACTTGATGATTCCTCATAAAGTAGGTGGAGATGAATGTTCTTGGGTACTTGATGATTCTTCATAAAGTAGGTGGAGAGGAGTGTTCTTGGGTACTGAATGATTCCTTGAAGAAAGAAGGAGGAGAGTAATGTTCTAGATGATTCCTTAAAAAGAAGAAAAAAGAATGTTCTTGGATACTATGGAATTTATTACCATAAAGGAGGAGGGAAATGCTTTTCTTGGATACTAGATCATTCCTCACAAAGAATGAGCAGAATGATTTTGGGTTCTAAAAAATTCATTACAAAGAAGTAACGAATTGTTCTCCAGTTCTAGACAGTTCCTTACAAAGAAAGAGGTTCAGAATGTTCTTGGGCAGTAGATGATTCCTTACAAAGAATGTTCTTGGCTTCTAGATGATTTCTTACAAAGACTTGCTTGTCCCACAGGTAGTTCACATGTCTCCATCTTCAAACCTGGTATTCCTGGATTGGATGCTAAGTGGTCGTGTTGCTCTGAATGAATCATGGGCATTTAAAAGGTAATTAATTGCTTCATTGTTTCTCCTCTCCAGCATTCATAGTCTTCTGCATGACACATGTATTATTATTCTTGAAATGCTTTGCTATGAAGCATAGGTGATCATACTGCTAGCCCTCTGTCATAATTTGAGGTTTGAACATCAACATCTTGGCACACGGGAAGTGACCTATAATTGCTCCGTTCTTCTAACTGAAATCTGAGTCAAAAGAAGCTCAGCACAGTGCACAGGCTCTGTAGCACTGGCGAGGATCCTGAAATACTGTGGGTAGATAACTTTTAACTCAAAATTTTGCCCAGGCAGTGCTGTTAGGCTACTCTTTTAGATTTCCAACTGCCAAGGGATTTTTTACGTGCACAACAATGCACACGGGTGTCCGATCTCACTACTCAGAGACCAGGGGGAATTACTAGAAGTCCACATGAAAAATTCTCAGGCCTTACCAGGGATTGAACCCGGAACCTCTAGCACTCGATGCGGACACTATGCCTCGAGACCACGCAGCGCCCTGTTTGTTATAATTGAAACTATATGATACATGATTATGAGTACCAAAGTAACATTTCCAAGAGGACTGTAGTGTTCAGCTCTTCTTTCCTTTATCAAGTCCTGAAATCCACCTTGTAGCGTGAAAGAGCAGTAATGGATTTTCACATATGTTGTGTAATATAATAATATCTAATATGGTCGTGATTCATACAAACCCACTGAGAGTAAGCTTATATGTGTGTGTGCCTGTGCATGTGTGTATATGCATGTGAGTGTGCGAGCATGCATGTGTGTGTATGCATGTGTGTTTGTGCATGTGAGTGTGTGTAAAATTAGGTGCATATCCTTTACAGTATGTTGCAAACCAACCCCAGCATGTGCAGAATGTTTGTGGTTTTAGTCAGCTATTCTACATTCAGTAGTTTGCCATATTATATGCATAATTTGTGAGTCTGCAGCCACCATATATATATATATATATATATATATATATATATATATATATATATATATATATATATATATATATATATATCACAGAATAATCACAGTTTATACACTATCTTACATTTTATATCTGCGTGTTTTATCTGTATCTGAACGCAGATTCCGGAACTGCATAGAAATCCAAGTATCCAATGAGACAATCATTCGAGACTACCTTGAACTTGAGGACACACCAAACAAAACTGTGGCACAAGGCATGCATGGTTACCAGGTAATTTTCTTGACTATCTGGCTAAAAGGTTTATTTTTGAGAAACTGGATTTGATATCTTAGTTAATTTACCCATAAAAAAAATTTAATTTAAATGAAAAAAAAGGAGCTGCTTTGCTGTTGTGGCTAGATGCTAGCCTGCGGATCTGAAGGTCGTGGGTTCAAATCCATATGGGTGGTGGAGTTATTTATTTAAAAAAATGGCCTTGGCTCCCAGGTTGACCATGCCTAAAATAGGTACCAGGTAAAAGTTCTGGGAAGTAAATGTGGCTGCATCATCCAGCAAGTCTCAGTTGTTCTATTATAAAATATAGGTCTAGCCCAGTATGCTTAAAACACTTGATGGCATGAAAAAGGTCCTTCGCGTGAGGGGAAAAAAAAGCTTGGAGAACAAACCATAATATTGTTTCCTGTTAGAATATCATCAAAGAATTCATGGTTACATGTTCTGCTTAATTCTACTCAACACTGCTCTACCCTACTCTACTCTGTTTACTCTGCTCTGTACTACTCTACTCTGCTCTACTGTACTCTGCTCCACTCTATTCTGCACTACTCTACTCTACTCTACTCTACTCTACTCTACTCTACTCTACTCTACTCTACTCTACTCTACTCTACTCTACTCTACTCTACTCTACTCTACTCTACTCTACTCTTCTCTACTCTTCTCTACTCTACTCATCTACTCTAATCATTTACTGTATTCTTCTCATCTTCTCTGCTCTACTCAGCTTTAATCTACTCTATTTTGCTGTAATCTAGTTTAATCTTTTCATGATAATATCGTACCTCTGACAGGTTTTTGGCACCTGCATTGTTCTGGGAGATGATGTTGAATTTCTGACTGACAGTCTCATCACAAAGTACGGCAGAAAGCAGGACATAGGTCAGTGAATCTATTTTATTGTTAGGGCATTGCTCAGTGGGTTTATGTCAGTGTAAAGACACATTAGTCAGTGGGTTTATGTAGGTGTAAGGACACATAGGTCAGTGGGTTTATGTTAGTGCAAGAACACATAGCTCAGTGAGTTTATGTCAGTGTAAGCATACATTAGTCAGTGGGTTTATGTCAGTGTAAGGAGACACAGGTCAGTGTGTTTATGTGTTTGTTTAATCATGGGTCATTAGGTGTATGTCATATGTGAGGAAATAGGTCAGTGGTCATATGTTAGTGTAAGGACATTGGTCAGCGGGTGTATGCCACTGTAAAGACAGCTATCTCACCAGTCATTCAACCTGCTAACCAACCCACCCACCAGTTAACCATCCCAGTCAGCCAACCAACCAACCAACCAGTTACCAACCAATCAATGAACGAACCATTCAACCCTCAGTCAGCTAGCCAACCAATAAACTACCCAATCCATGCACCAGCCAACCACTTACCCTTCCACCAAGCATTTAGCCAACCAACTAATCAACCCATTTGCAACCAACCATTAAACCAACTAACTAGTCAACTATTCAGCCAAACAACCACCCAACTACATACACCAACCAACCACTCAACCCACAAAAACCAACTAGTCAAACCACATATACATCAACCAGCCAACCACTCAGTCCCCACACACATACACACATGCATGCATGCACGTATGACCACGCATACAAACGAGCCAACCAACAACTGAACCCACTCACTCACACACACACACGCACACCAACCAGTTAACATTCACACACCCACCACTCAACAGACACACGCACACACGCGCACCAGTCAACCTAAAAACCAATCTACTCCTGCTATATTAACTACAGTGTTTGATAAAATTATCCAGATTTTTGAAGCTGTCACAAAAATCTACCACATTTTTAAATTAACTGTTCATTTTCTATTTCCCAGGTGACAAAGGAAGTCAGGATTTGGTTGTGAGTGTCAGTTCGACCAGCTATCATGTTCAAGGGAAGACAATCCATGGCTGTTATCTCAGGTTTTTGGCTGCTAATATGCAGTCTGTAAGTATTTGACAGAAGCTTTGCAGCTTCTTCTTCTCCAGTTACATTTTGCTGTTCATTTCCAGGTTGCAAGCAATGTGAATAAAATCTCAGTGTACAGTTATACACCTATTTACATAGCAATTGAGAGCCACTGTAGAATAGTGCTTAGTGTTCACCTGGTGGGTCAAAGTCATGTGTTTAAATCTACATTGTGATTGATTTTTAGTAATTGATCTGGGCTCCCAGGTTGACTTGGCTTAAAATGGGTACCAGGAAATATTATGGGAAGTAAAGGCATGATGTTGATCCCATAACCATTAAGTGCCAGTTAGTGAGTGAGTGAGTGAAATTGAACCCCACTAGGATCCCACACTAAACAATTAAAAGCATGTGATGCAAAGGGCAGCGGGTCATTACCTGGATTAGAATCCCCTACATCAAGTCCCAGAAACCCTGTTTAGCCATAAGGTTAAATATATTAGGGCCATCGATTGTTGCGACGTACCCTGAAGTCCAGCCAGGATTCGGCTGTAATATCAACACAGTTTAGTCCCAGATAGGGACAGATGGAATGTGGGTATTACTGTTAGTTAGTCCAGCATATCATTCAGCATCCATTATAGAAACAACAAAAATCAAAAGTCAATTGCGTTCAACCTACTGCTAGCAGCAGTATTTATGATTTGTGTTTATTTCGGCATATTCATGTGTAATAAGTGTCCACCACCAATTAGCCCTCAGAAGTGCTCCTGTAGTATTGATGCGATGACTGTTCTCTAGCGCTGACCGAGTTGCCCTATGGCAGACCAATTAAATCACCCGAGCATTGATTATGTCAGTTAGTCAGTAGAAAACGTAGGTCTATGTATGTGATTCAACCCCAACAGGACTGTACAATGAGCGACCAACACCTGGTGATACAAAGTGCCACTAAAGTTCCAATGAGGATCACCCGGTCACAAGACCCAGAAACCCTGTTCAACCGTAAGGTTATATTAAGGCCCCCCGACTACAGCCGGGTTAGGGATTTAAAAATATGAAAAATTGCGTCCCACATTGGGACAGGAGTCTAATATAAACATACGTCTGGCACTGTATATACCTGATGTACCAATGGCGTAGAAGAGTACTTCACTTATCTTACTTATATTTTGCTCATTTCTTATTTGTTGTTGGATTTGGTCTCTTTCATCGTTGATTACCTGTCTGTAGGGTTGTCAGAACCTGAGGGCTCAACAGTTTAAAGGGTGGGGGTTGGGGGATGAGACTGAGCAGAGAAAAGCAATCCCCTTTGCCAGATATGCACATTTTTAAAAAAAGTATTTGTTGATACATTTATTATTATTTCAGATGCCCTAATATATTTATTTGCCACTCTTCACGTAATAGTAATAATAATAATAGTTTTAATAACTATTATTATTATTACTGCACACTAAGCAAGGCTTAAGCCCATTTAGAACCCCCTCCTGTCTGCTAGATTTTTTTCATCTTTTTTTATGGTACAGTATTGTTGCTGATTTGTTTTATTGATAAAGATTTGACCACAGTGTTTGTTGCATCCATATTTCTCTTAACTTTGTTTCTGCTGAACTTCCTGTTGGTATTTTGTAATGTTTCTGAGAAAGAGGAGTATTCCGTGAAAATGACTTATTACATAAGACAGTCTTTAATTTCCTGTGTTTATTGTCATGTTTGTCTGCCCTTACCTTTTGTACATATTGAATTAATTTTCTATTTACAGGCAGCACCAGCCATTCGCAGCATAACTTCCCCTCTTCTTCCAGTTCTTGGAGATGACCCCTATGAAAGAAAGCTCTAGATACTGGACAACTACATAAAATGGTCTGTGTCCAAAAGTAATGAAAACGATTTAAATCTATTGGCAGCAAAATATTTTGTAAAGACACAATGAAGTGTGAAATGTGTTCTAACTGCCTGGAACGTTGCCTTTTATGATGGGCATCAGCAATGGCTCTATTTGCTGTAAAGACTATTTCAGATTTTAAAACTGCACCTGATGATAAGCAACAAAAGTAGGGTGAAACTGTTTCATTCCAAAGCAAAATGTGGTATGTCATTGGCATGCCTTCTAGGACACCATCACTAAATGTGTTAATTTACCTTTTATATTTGGCCAAAGCTGTTAAAAAGTCTGACTTTTCCAATGGATACTTTCACTGCACATTTAAAATTTCTAAAGTTATGCACTTAGGGGTGTTTCAAAATATTGGCTGTGAATTTTGTGGAGCCAAAGACTTAAATTTATTTAGGGTCACAGAAAGTAATAATTTCATGAATGTGTTTTGTACAGCTAAGATTATTTTATAATTGATATTCCAAACATAAATTTTTTGTACGATTTCTACTGTGAACTGTTTATAATTACATAAGGATAAATGGTCATATGCCTGTAAATTTTAATCTTTAAAATCAGGAGACATTTCTGGAAAATGACAAGGTCGATTTATGATGTTTTAGAGTGAGATATAGAAGCATAAAAATAAACCAGATACCATGGCATGACATATGTGAGAAGCTCCAAAATTTGATCAAATAATAGAATGTGAGAGTAGTGGAAATTTCCAACAAATAGTGAGAATTTATTTATGAGTCACTATACAGTCTGACCCATAGTGCCTTTCAGCTCCTAAGATGATCATGGTTTTAATGAGCTAACCACAGTTCTCTTGTTTATTTATGACAGAATCTCATGTAACAATATTCATTCCACAGACTGGTATATTCATTTTGTTTTTATTATTAGGTCTCTTCATGATAAATCTATCTTTATCACTGTCAGTTATTCTTGTGAAATCTTTGTAATAGTTTTCCATTGATTTGCATTAATGATTTACATGCTATAAAGCAAGGCTATTCACCTAGAGGCCTGCAGGCTGTATGAGGTAAACAGTGATCCAGCAAGTGGTCCATGAATCTTGCTAAAACATTTCTACACTGGGGCTCTGGCCTAAGACAGTCCCTATTTTTGAAATTGTAGGGTGTCTAAGAAAGGTGCAGGTACTCAACACAAAGTGTCTTTTACCGTAGCGCTAAAAAAAATTGTGCCTTAAAATAAAATAAAAAATGGTACTAGTACAACATCAGAAAAAAGCCCTGAAAATAACTGCCTACACCCGGGAAGGCTAACCCGGTCAACAAATGCCTGCAGAAGTGGATGTGTCGAATAAAAGGCGCAAATATCGCAGCCATGCTGTAAATGGGCACAACGCATATACATCTTCGGAAGAAGAAGAAGAATGCAAATAGACTGCAAGAAAGATGAAGAAGACAATGAAGAGATAATATATTGGCAGTCCTACAAACACTTTAAGTCACCAACTGGAAAGAGAAAGCCAGTCAAAGAGATGAATAGAGGTGGGTGATGTCTGCAGCAGTCAACGACAAGGTCTCAGAATGCTACAGGAGAATAAGAAGAATGGCTCTCTGATGAAACATCAATGTTGTTATTATAACTGTATTAATCACATCAACAATTTTCACATTATTCATTACACCATCAATATTAACATGTAAAATATTGATATGATGATTTATTTTTGTACAATTTTGTCATTATTTATTTATAAAATACATAAAATATTTTTCTGAACAAATGGTCAAGTTGTTGAGCGTATATTTTATGTTCAAAGAGTGTATTTATATTTTGTTTTTAAAATGTTCTTTTATTAGCACATAAATCACAGGCATCGTGTTGATACTTTTATAAGCTACTCAATGGTTAAACGTACATAAATCACAGGCATTGTGTTGATACTTTTATAAGCTACTCAATGGTTAAACGTACATAAATCACAGGCATTGTGTATGATACTTTTATAAGCTACTCAATGGTTAAACGTTCACACGAGCTTCCATACCATCAGATGCATTGCTGCCTGGCATAGATAATCATGTTTCTACACACCTTGCATATCCTACATTCCTGTTCCTTGTTGTCTGCATTGACATCCTAGCACATTGGTGGAACCCATTCATGTTTCATCCTATGATGCAGCAGCCATCTCCTTGTCTCCATGATTGCTTAATTTAGTTGAGTTGAGTCAAGAATTGACATAACCGCACTTGAGACATTCCCTTGAGTGCTCCAGTTAGTTAGTAAGTCTTTCCTCTTGAGCCTAAGGCAGCGCAAAAGGTGGAAGTCATAGCTCTCCATGTTTTGTAGTACATTGCCACATGTTTTAGGTCTTAGATGTTCATTTGAGCCATCCCTGATGATAGTTCTATGCATTTTCTTTTTCATTCCGGTGTCCATACAAGAGCTTGTTGGGGGAGTCTTGTTTTATCCAGTAGGAGGCATATATTCTTTGTTTGCCCTGCAAAGTTTAATTCCCAATTTTCAATAGGCAATTTATTGTCTGTGATTCTTTCATCTCAAAGTCTTTAGAACTCAGCACATTCAGTATGTTTGTCCTGTCCATACTTCTTCCTCCACAACCACATGGCCAGTCTGTTGACTATTTCATCTCCTTTCACTCAGGCATGCCCAGTGTGTACAATACCCAGTAGCATGTATCAGTTCATGAGTGAACATCCTTCTGTGCCATGTCAAAAGCTGCCAAGAACCCTCTCACATTGTCTTCCTCTATCTGTCTATCCTAAATGTTTCCAGTTGTCACAACTTTCCATTTTTTATAATGAGGCCAAGGATGAGTACTGTACCTTTCTGTTTGTGATATGTTGTCCATTTGTCCCACCTTCACCAGTTCTGGCACTTTCTTGAAGATGGTAAGACTTTCTGGACTCTACCTCCCTGCTTTTCCTTCTATCATGGCTTTTCTCTTTCTCAACTCCTACTATTCATCCTTAATTTTTCACTAATTCTGTTTCTATCCTTCCTTCTCTCTTGCTACAGTTCTCTCCCTCCATTCAGATTAACTATACCAACTTAAAAATACACACACATATAACAAACTAGCAGTATATTTATAATTCTTCTACTCCTTTAATAAATATTGTGAATTATAAATACAGACAAATATATTCATAAAAATAATAATGTCTGTAATGACAGATGATCTGCTCAAATAGATGTGGTGATATATAGAAACTTATCCTGTCATGAGAAGAAATCTCACTGAACAAAAATTAACATAAAACTGTAAATTACATAGAGAAATGTATTCTATTATGTCACTAGCTATTTTCAAAGAACATGGAATCATCATCAATTTCTACTTTTGCCATTGAGCGTCATGGGGAGGAACAGTTTGAAGTCCACTGCTTGATGGGTAGCAATGGCTATTGTCATTCTATGTCCATGTATAAGCTGAAATCCATCTTCCCCTAAAGTGACCTCTTGTTTTCACATCGGATCTTTTCATTTGTAGCACCTGTGTTGGTAGTTGTTGTGGCTGCATTTTGACAATCTGACCAAACCATTTGCTTTTCTCTTTCTCATTGAATTTGGTGAATGATATTGTAAAAAGAATTATTTAAGAACAATGACAAAAAACAATGTCTAACTACATGACTAGCTGGAGAAAATGAAATTACATAACCTTAAAGAACAATGGACACTCAAATCCCTTTTCAGGTAGTCTTAAAAAAAAAAAAATTACTTGAGATCCCACCTGAGATTGTTACTGCTTTTCTTATTTGTTATTACTGCTATTATTATATTTCCTATGGGGGAAATATTTTTATTGTACGTTATCTGTTTCAAATATGTATGTGATCATATGGGATAATGAGTTGTGATCATATGATTTAATGAGTTGTGATCATTTGGGATAATGAGTTGTGATCATATGGGATAATCAGAAGTTAACATACGGGATAATGAGCTGCGATCATACAGGATAATCAGCTGTGGTCATATGGGAAATCAGCTATGATCATATGGGATAATGGGTTATAATTAGGGCTGTACCGAATATTCGCTTCGTATTCGCTTCGGAGCCGAATAGTGGACCTATTGACTATTCGGTATTCAGCTGAATAGTTGAGGTCGAGCCGAATATGAATAGTAGTTACCTTACACCGGCTTCTGCATACACGGCCCTAATACTGACAACATGGAACGATTGGTTTTGCTTAAAGCTAATGCAGCTTTCATGCATTAACTAAGCAGTCAGTGACACTTTCCAAGTTTAGTTACTTGTTATAATACTTAGGATTCTTTCACTCCTAGTTATTAGTTACCACAGACTGACTGAACGATGCAAAACATAAAATGTTTTTAAATGTTTACTATTCTGTACAAATACTAACTAAATATGGAAAGAGTATAAACTGCTGCCACATCCAAGTCGATAATATGAAAATCAGACGAACAGAAACATAAAAGTACTTGGGTGCAAACTTCAACTGCTCCAACATGCTGAAAGAAGAAATACAATCTAGAATACAGTCTAGAAATGAAGTATATATGAACAGATGAGGCCTTATTACAGATTTTCGAAAACAGTCTTACGACAAATCTTTGGACCCATGAAAGATGCTAACAGCAGGGAATGGAGAGTGTGAAGCAACAACGTAACACATAATCTGTTTAAATCACCATTGATCACTGGCATCATGAGAGCTAACAGACTAAAATGGTTGGGGAATGTTGAAAGAATGTCAGATGACAGAGAAGTAAAACTGTATACACCTGAGAGCGGAATGGGTGTAGACCACGAGGCAGACAAAAAAGAAGATCGAGAGATATTGTCCAGCCAGACCTGCAAACAACTGGTGTCATAAATTGTGAAGATAAGGCCGGCCAGAGAGATGAATAGAGTGGTATCTGCAGCAGTAAACCTCAAGGGTTCAGAATGCTAAAGAAGAAGATGACTATTCTGTGCTACTTGATGAGAAGTAAAAGCTCAGCATACATTTTTTTAGATATATTTTATACACTATACACTATTCATATTCGGCCGAATAGTTGGTCCCGTCATTCGTATTTGGCCGAAAAGTGAAAATCATTATTCGGTACAGCCCTAGTTATAATCACATGAGATAATGGGTTGTGATCATATAAGAAAATGAGTTGTGATCATATGGGATAATGAGTATTGATCATTTGGGATAACGAGTTGTGACCATATGGGATAATGAGTTTTAATGATTTGGGATAATCAGTTGTGATCACATGGGAAAATGAGATGTGATCATATGGGATAATGTATAGTGATCACATGGGAAAATAAGATGTGATCATATGGGATAATGTATAGTGATCACATGGGATAATGAGTTATGATCATATGGGATAATGAGTTATGATCATATGGGATAATGAGTTATAATCATATGGGATAATGAGTTGTGATCATATGAGATAAAAAGCTGTGATCGCATTGGATAAGTAATCGTGATCATATGGGATAATGAGTTGTGATCATATCGGATAATTAATCGTGATCATATCGTATAACGAGTTATGATCATATGGGATAATGAGTTGTGATCACATGGGAAAATGAGTTGCAGTTATCCATGTCTAGTGACATGGTGCTGAAAGACAAAACTCTAAAAACAATCCTGTATTCTCTACCTTATGTTTTACTTTGACTGTTTACAAAATGTTATCATACAGTATCTCTCAGTTTTTCAAGGCTGGATTCTTTTGATAGTTAAAGACTTAATTACAACCTGCTGTGAAAACATTTGTTGCCTAATCCCAGGGAATCTGTACCTAATGGGCTGAATGACCTGGTTACATCCTAATTTGATATGCAGTTTTATGGCTAATGCAGGTGTGATGTTGGCAGGTGTGATGTTGGCAGGTGTGATGTTGGCAGGTGTGATGTTGGCTGGTGTGATGTTGGCAGGTGTGATGTTGGCTGGTGTGATGTTGGCAAGTGTGATGTTGGCTGGTGTGATGTTGGCTGGTGTGATGTTGGCAGGTGTGATGTTGGCAGGTGTGATGTTGGCTGGTGTGATGTTGGCAGGTGTGATGTTGGCAGGTGCGATGTTGGCTGGTGTGATGTTGGCTGGTGTGATGTTGGCAGGTGTGATGTTGGCAGGTGTGATGTTGGCTGGTGTGATGTTGGCAGGTGTGATGTTGACAGGTGTGATGTTGGCTGGTGTGATGTTGGCAGGTGTGATGTTGGCTGGTGTGATGTTGGCAGGTGTGATGTTGGCAGGTGTGATGTTGGCTGGTGTGATGTTGGCAGGTGTGATGTTGGCAGGTGTGATGTTGGCTGGTGTGATGTTGGCAAGTGTGATGTTGGCTGGTGTGATGTTGGCTGGTGTGATGTTGGCAGGTGTGATGTTGGCAGGTGTGATGTTGGCTGGTGTGATGTTGGCAGGTGTGATGTTGGCAGGTGCGATGTTGGCTGGTGTGATGTTGGCTGGTGTGATGTTGGCAGGTGTGATGTTGGCAGGTGTGATGTTGGCTGGTGTGATGTTGGCAGGTGTGATGTTGACAGGTGTGATGTTGGCTGGTGTGATGTTGGCAGGTGTGATGTTGGCTGGTGTGATGTTGGCAGGTGTGATGTTGGCAGGTGTGATGTTGGCTGGTGTGATGTTGGCTGGTGTGATGTTGGCAGGTGTAATGTTGGCAGGTGTGATGTTGGCTGATGTGATGTTGGCTGGTGTGATGTTGGCTGGTGTGATGTTGGCTGGTGTGATGTTGGCAGGTGTGATGTTGACAGGTGTAATGTTGGCTGGTGTGATGTTGGCAGGTGTGATGTTGGCAGGTGTGATGTTGGCAGGTGTGGTGTTGACAGGTGTGATGTTGGCAGGTGTGATGTTGGCAGGTGTGATGTTGACAGGTGTGATGTTGGCAGGTGTGATGTTTGCAAGTGATGTTGGCAGGTGTGATGTTGGCTGGTGTGATGTTGGCAGGTGTGATGTTGACTACATCACTTACTTAGTGCTGAATTATTGGCCTATAAATTATAAGTCTAGCCTTATATTCTCATTACATCTGAAGGTGAGAAAAAGGGTCCTTTACTTTTATGATTTTTTTTAGGTTAGTGACAAGTTTATAATCCTCAAGGTCTAGGGTTTGATTCCTGTGGTAGGCTGGTTAATATTTAAAAAAAAAAAAAAAAAAAAATCTTGTGGTTTTTTTTTTAGAGTGGCATGAGAGTTGCACTGTGGAAGAGACTGAGGCCTCATACCATAATTTTGTTCTAAAGATAACCAGTGTGTACACTTTAGCCAGCTTTTGTTGTAGAAATGCAACACAAGTGTTGCTACATCTTAATATCTTTTTCCATCAATGTGAAGTTCCAGTACAATTCTTGCTTACTCATTAATTTATGATTGGAGAGAAGTTTAAAAGAACTACATCACAGTCACCATTAAAATGCTTGTTTCATACAGAATTTGAAGAAAAGTTTCTATACCAGAATTACTCCAGTATAGGTTTCACACAACCAAAACTTCTTTTTTTCAGGCATCCATTATTAACTAGTCATCCCCTTGTGGGGTGCAATTTTTTTGTTATTATGAAGCACAACTTAGCTCTTGCCAGGAGCTGCATTATAGCCCTGCCCAGACCATGGCCTAATGGCTGAATGCTGTTTCCAGGACCTCTCCATGGGTGATCTGCATCCACATGGTGGCATTTTGTGTCATCAGGTGTTTATCTCTTGTGTGATGTCCTAGTGGGGTAAAATGTACTGCTACCACTTCAGGCATAACATTTTTAATGAAGAATTTCAGATAATTTACAACCAACCAATCAACTCTCAGCCAACTACTAACTAACCAACTAGCCAATTATTATCAACCAATCTCCAAAACAACCAACAAACCAGCTAACGAGATAACTTGTTAACCGACCAACAGCTAGCCAACTAAGCAATCAAACTTCAACCAACCTACTAACCAACCAAACAAATAATGAACCAATACAGCCGCTTACCCAAACATCCACAAACAAAATAACCCACCGATTCATCCACCAACCAGCCAACCAAACATCCATCCACTGAATCAGCAAAACAGCACCCTCAAACATTCACTAACATATTTAACCTACCCACTCACTGATCCACCCATCAAACAACCACCCACCCATACTATAAATGAAAAAACCATTTAAACAAGTTGCCGGCAACTCAGATCAAACCATATCTGTGACTGTTATATAATAAAACATCAATGTACACTGCTTCTCATTGTCAAATTCTACTACCCTCATCATCGTCACTGTTATCATCCACATCATGTAGGTGAACGCTCGGGCAGTTTTCAGTAATCTCCTTTTGTGTTACTTGACCTCACTGACATGGGAAAAAAATATATTTCAGCAACATCATTGTCAAATATGCCAAGAACCATATTGTTGTTGTACAATTACTTATGACCAGACAAATCTAATCTAAGCAACTCACTGTTTTCTAAACACCTAATTACCGTCAACACCATTAATCTAATCCAAGAACTGGGACATTTGGTTGATTTAAAGTAAAATTTGCAGGGAGGAAAAATGATTATGAAAACAAAAATAACTACTGCATAGAAAAAAAGTCTTCTCTCTGTTTGCCTCATAATTCCATGCTTATGATTCCAATCACAGTTAAGGTTGAGAATAGGGTCGTAGTAGTCTTGACGGCTCCGTGACTTAGAGATAAGTCAGTGTGGTTAACAATTTCATGATCCTTGAGTACCAAGATTCGATCCCTGTCGTAAACAATTTCAGGATCCTCGAGTACCAAGATTCGTTCCCTGCCGTAAACAATTTCAGGATCCTCGAGTACCAAGATTCGTTCCCTGCAGTAAACAATTGCAGGATCCTCGAGTATCATGAAAACCTAAAACAGTCTTACCCATCAAACAACACAATCGCTTGAAATGAACAGGAATCTGTCAGCAGGCCATCGTATTGGTAAGAGATGCAGAGGCTGAACAGCACGAATATTAGCACAGGACATAAGAGACACCGTCTATCCTCCCAACAACGCCACATATTATGGCGACCAAAAATACACCCTGATAGGGCCTCAGTCCATTGTAAATTGCGGACCGGCGACTATACGGCCACCGCAGAGCGGGGCTTAACTAGACTGCTGGGACTTAAGAGCAGCAGCTTCCCCATCTCCTGCAGCTTTGCTCGTGAGTCCCAGCAATCTAGTTTAGCTCCGCGGGCGCCCATTTACTCTCAGCGGTGGCGGCATAGTCGCCGGAAATTCGCTATTTATAGGTGACGGAGGCTCGGTTTTTGGCCGCCATAATATGTGACCATTATTCGGAGGATAGCCGAGACACCTTTAGTAGGAAAGTGCATGATGCGGAATAGCTGGCGAGGTTTCAAGTTCCTCCGTGTCCGGCTACGATGGAAGCGACGTTTTGTGAAGGTTTTGCTAAATGCGGATGATAGATGTTTGCATACAAATTTGCTTGGACTTTGTTTACTATCCACTATTGCAATCAAGAACCACTACTGTAAACAGGTTAACCGGGTACAATGTTATGATTTAATTACATCCCTTGGTTATACGGGCGAATGGAAATCTTCCATCACGGCTATAGGACTGTAAGTGTTGCTGTGTCGATTTGCGGCAGTAACTTTCACCTCGTAGATGTTTCCACAAGAACTGTAAGGTTTTGTATATCTAGACGACTTATTACTGTACCTTGTACTGCAAGTACTTAGCGTATTACTGTTGCTAAGCGACATTGAATCTATAATTCGTCCTTTAGAGCGCCTGACGTGATGGTCAAATATGGCGGGAGATGAAGCAAACCTGGGCAACATGTTCACTGTGATGTCATCCAATTCTGGCGGCGGTTTTCTTTCCAGTTGAACCACAACCAGGCGGTAGATGAGTAAGACGATGACTATAGTATTTTTGCAGGTGAAAAACATGTTTGTGTAGCTGAGAACATAATATTTGAAAATCAAAAGCATCCTTAGCACCAGAAAAGGCAAGTCCTGTAAGAAGATGGAGATGATGATGCCATAAACATCCGGACTGCAGCACTTGTCGTAAGCAGACATTAAGCCGGAACGAATCAGACCGCTCCTGTCTCGCCTGACCCTGGTAGCGGTTAGAACCAGCGAGAACTGGAGCAGGCTAAGCGTCCAGATCCCCAGAATGACGATGCAGAGGAGACGACTGTTTCTAACCTGTGGAGGGAAGAATAAAGAAAACTCTAGATCGTGTCTACAAACTTGCGTGGTTACTATTGACCACAGATTTAATTAATTTGTACCCTCTTAAAAGAAGCAGCTCACAAAGTGGGACAATCGTCAATCAAGATAAGGCCGAATACATGATAATAACAAGATACGGAAAGGATATAAACTCCGCCACACACAAGTCGATAATATGAAAATCAAACGAACGGAAACATGTAAGTCCTTGGGTGCAACTGCTCCAACATGATGAGAGAAGAAATACAATCTAGAATACAGTCTAGAAAACTATGCCCTTCAACATCTACTAAAGTCAAAGTCTCTATCTCGCAACAACAAGATCATTTAAACAACGTTGATAAGACCAGTTGTTTTATATGGCTCTGAAATTTGAAGCACAACTAAAAAAAGATGAAGCCTTATTCGAAAATAGAGTCTAACGACGAATTTCTAGACCCGTCAGAGATGAGTAGCAGCAACGAAATTCATAATCTGTTTAAATCACCATTGATCACTGGCATCATGTGGGCTGACATACTGCAATGGCTGGGACATATTAAGAGAATGTCAGATGACAGAAAAGTAAAAACTGTATATACAACGACTGGTCATAGATCACAAGGTCGACCAAGAAGACGAAGGAGAGATAATATCCAGACAAAATACAGACATATTACAAATACTTGCTGTTACTAACTGGAAATAGAAGGCCACCCAGAAAGATGAGTGGAGGCGGGTGATATTTGCAGCACTGAACCTCAAGGGCTCGGAACGCTGAAGAACTATACTCTCATTGTATGTGAGTATGCATGTATTTGTGTACGTGTTTGTGTCTGTACGTCTGGTTCGCTTATGTGTCTACGTCGTGTTTAATGTTTGTATTTAGGATTTACCATCTATGCTTGTGTATTTTTACCCTCATTTTCATCATGATCAGCACCCCGTAACACCGTGTGTCGTTGGGTCACCACTTGTTATTGACTGTTTGATCAGCTTCCCTCCACATTTGAGGGGCAGATATGGTGGACTTCATGGTTGAACGCCTAAGGCCTGTCCAGTCATTCAAGTTATGTATCCAGGTCATTTTTAGTCTGCCTTTTCTCCTAATTCCCACTGCTGAGTAATGTAGCATTGTTTTTGTGAGGCCGTTAAATCTCAGTACATGTTCGTACCATTGCATTTTCCGTTTTTATCACCGTTGTTAAAAGAGTTTGTACATTCAATATTCATGCTATTCATTTTGTTTATACATATATGAACATACACGCTTTAAAAATAGAATACATCTGCTGTGTGAAAGATGCGTGGTGTATGTTTCCCGTCATTTTTAGGGTGGAATTTCTCGTTATTTGAAGCCCCACTCTGGCTCTTGCCAGGGGCCGCAATATAGCCTGGCCATAAATATGGCCTAATGGCTGAACGCGGTTTCTGGGACCTCTCCACGGTAATCCTCACCCGCATGATGGCACATTGTGTCATTGGGTGTTCATCGCTTGTGTGATGTCCTGATGGGG